GAAGAAATAACTTACGAAACTAAAATTTCTTAAAAAGAAAATAATTACATGCTTTAACTGTTCGTCATATCAAATTAGTTCTAATAAAGTAAAATTATATTATCACGTCTTTGGCTGATAAAATAACTAATCAGGACAAATAAAATTAAATATTATTCATTCAATTTTATTTTGTGAAATATTTTTCATTTGCAAATAAGTCACAGGTTGATAAACAAAAATTACCAAAAAATATTTTTTACTTGTTTATCGTATTTCAACATGAAAATGAATACACAACTTTTCACTTACATTATAAAAACCGAAAAAACGGTTTTTCTTTTTTTATAAGATTCGTTTTTTCTGTTTTCAAACGGGTCCGTTAACCGGTTAATTCGGTTAAAGCCGGGTCGAATGCCCTAGCGTTGACCCCGCCGCTTAAAAAGTGGGCGGGTATCAAAAACTTCAAATCTACGCTACCAAATTCTGTATTCTTCGAATGTAAATCGGTAGTCGTCGATCACTCTACTTATAAATCTATGGTACTTAAGACTTAACAAAGCCAAGAAGGAGCGTTGAGGTGCCAATTTATGCCTAAATTCATTATCTCCTGCATGAAAAGTTGATCTTATAAAAAATATATTCCTCGGTCGCTATACTAGAGAGATGGCGTTCTTTCTCTAGCGGCCACACGATGCATGTGATGCTATTTCCAGATGTATAACCTTTGTACATAGATATACAGACACTGCTATAAAACCCCCATAAGAGACACCTCGACCTTGATTAGTGTTCACAACAACGTGTTGTTGCAGTCTGTCCGGCGAGTCGGCGGGCGGCGCGGGGGCGGGGGCGGGGGCGGGCGCGGGGGCGGGGGCGGAGTGGACGTGTCCGCTGTGCACGTTCCACAACGCCGCGCACCACCACGCCTGCGACATGTGCGCCATGCCCAGGTGCGCGCCCACTGCACTGCCCCCCCAGTTTCATATATTTAACTGGGGGACCAGTGCCGAGGGACTACTCATACCATATTATTAAAAAAAAAAATTATAAAGAATAATATAGAGTTATAAACGTATTAAATGCATGCTTTTGTTTCGTTTGCCTTTGCGGTATATAACTGTGACATATGCTTTTAATTTGTATTTTCATCCGGTTGTCACCTGTTTTGTATATCTCAAAAAATAAAAAGTAAAAATTGACTTAAGATGGCGATTTCATAAACATTTATTTAAAATGCTTTCGATGATATATAATAATTGATATGCCTCTAGCGAGGGATCGGAGAAGTTATACGTGATGTTTGTTTGTTTCAGAAATAACGCTATGTAAATAATCTTCCGCTGCAGCGGAATCAAAATAGAATCCTTTTTTATACTACGGAGTTGCGGCGCCCCGATTTGTGAATAATGAATGTAGGTTTACGTTATTTTTGTATAAGTGCGGTCGCCTCGTGCGCGGGTCCCACCTCCCCCGCTGACCTTACAACCACTATTATAGAAAAGACTAGAGTGCGGGCACCCACGTTGGATGTAAATGCCGATGGAGTCTTTCATATGTCGAAACTGTTTTTTCTTTTTTTTCTTTAGTACATTGTTCTCGTTAGACATGATGATATGTTATCTATTTCGATCATATGAAAGACTTCGTCCGTGTCTAATATGTGTATATTGTAAATCTGAATGATCATCGCGTCCGGGACCTGCGGCTCTCCCTCCTACCTGAAGCCCCTGTTTAAATTGATCTGTCAAAATAAAGATCTAAATGATCTGTCAGACTGACAGATTCACTGTCGGCAGACTAAACGGGATCGGTCTGTTCGATCCTAGACCAAACATGATCGCTTCGTCCAGTCTGAGCGTTACGACTAGGATCGACGAGACCGACAGCCGAAGACAGCCTGCTAGAGCATTCAGGTGTTTATTTTGACAGTTGATGAAAGGTCGCGGCTTCACGTGGGGGGGAGGGGGGAGCCGCGCCCCGGGCGTGACTCCCCCGGCCCTCTGCAGGGACGGCGGTCACCGGTTCCTCGGTGTGGAGCGATGGAGTCGCATCGTGTGCACACTGAACATTGTCATTGATGTTGAACTGTTTTAATATACTGTATTTTGTAACGTGCAGTTGTTAATTAAACGATCTCTTGTCGTGCCGCGGGCGGTCATGTCAATTTTATTTTGTTTCATATATTATATTTGTGGCTACTCTGATGCCCGTTTTCACTAAACTTAGGAGACGCCCAAATCTTACGCCTATATGTATATTGAGGCTTTATCCAAGGTGAACCTTACGACTTTAACCAACGTTTAAAGTTAGAACATGCTAAGGAGATTAGCGTAATCTGTAAATATACATTTACTCTTTGACCATAACAGGGCATAAAATCAATTCAGTCGGTTGTAATCCTAGATCAATGATAGATATAAAGAAATTTATTTATTCGATTAAGATATAAACTATGAGTTTGATTAAATTTTTGGACTTAATAGAAAACAAAGATGACTTGATGCTCGTCTTAATACAAGACCACGTGTAATTAAAAATTATATATTTTTGTTATTGTGTCGTCTGCGGAATTGTGTACACGCAAACATGCAAGCAGGCGTATTCAAATTAAACTATGGCTTGTTCTAGATAAGTGAAAACGGGTATGAGATACATATTGATAATGAAATTGCCGATTGAAGGAGTGTACCTCTTAGGCTGGAGTTCACCGATTTTCTAATCAACTGATTTAGTACTAGCAATCAGCTGATTAAAGATGTTTTTGTGTTCACCACACGTTTATCAACTAATTAGATCCTTAATTGGTTAATTAACTTAATCGGGCCCCTATGTATTGTGTGAAAGTTGTAATTTTTAATATAAATATTACAACTTTCACACAATACAATAGCAAATGAAATAATTGTCAACAACGTCAAAAAAAAGTGTAGTCTTTTATTTTGATATAACGATTACCAAGACCAAAGAGTAAACAAGGACAATAGACAACCATTTTGAGCTTATAGGTTGACCAAAGTTAAAATACATCAATTTGTACCGTTCTTGTCATGTCGAAGAGTGCGGAACTCTTAAAATTGTTAGTATTTTTATTACGCTGCTACATTAAATTTTCAACATAGACAGTGTCGTCTGAATACGGCAGTGCTACATACGCAACTGATTAGCGTAATACCATTCCTATATTCGTTCTAAAACATGGATAATCGGCCGATTTGGAAATCGTGATTAAAAATTACCTGGTGAATATAAACTTTTTAACGGCTGTTTAAACAACATTTAAAATTTAATCGATCGATTTCTGAATAAATGTTTAACCGACGGTCGGTGAACTCCAGCTTTAGTTAGTCTAATAGTATGTCCAGTTTGTTTACTTATAATCTCGAACAATAGTTTTACTAACATATTTTATATCCTTGTAATGATGCCTCTAAGGGAGCCACATATATGATCGAGGCTAATACATGTATTGATTTACCTACATACAAATGTTTTGTTTATAGTTATACGAGAGAAAATAGTATCTTATATATTTACAGTAAAATATCGATGTTTTAATTACTTGACAGAGAAAGACTAAATAAGAAACAGTTTCGTCATATAAAGAATTTGAAATTATTTATTTTATGTATTGTTTTAGAAAACTGACCTTATTCGTATAATTTACGAGCAAAATTCAGTGAAATTCATCAATTACAATTTTAAAGGTTCTATTCCATGAAATCTTAAAAAACACATTATGGGAACGGCCCACAATACATGATCTACTAAGAGGTATTCGTGTAAAACTTCAATAAAAACACGGGAGTATATTTGGTTAATATATGCACGTCCATACCAAATTGTCTTGGATTTTAAATCATTAAGGCGAGAGTAGCAAATAAACGATGTTTTGACGTAATTGTGGCAACCTGACGTGCAGCTGCGTGGACATACAGTAACGTATATATAACGCAGCGTAATGATATATGTACACAGTGGTGACGAGGCCTTGGCAATTATGTCAAAAACTATATTTTATTACATCATACCTATTTAGTGTTTAAAGATTATGAAACTATGCAAACTGTATCAAATAATGACAATTTACAACCTCAATGGTTCATACTCCAATTTGCCCCGCCAAACCGCCCCACTGGTGGGACAAAGGGCTAATAATTCGCACGTGAATCTGCTCTACTAAATCGAGTTAGTGGGTAGGTTTAAAAATACATAAAATTTTATTTTTATTTGTCCAACTATGTTCGGTGCTAAAGAATTTTCAAATTTAACATTAGGGTCGAATCTTGTTAGATTACTTTGACCCGCAACAAGATTTTCGATTGAGATGACGCATGTATATCGTACCTATCTGACAATACAGTTTTAAGATGGAATCAAGGTGACGACGATGGAGCCTGATGTTGCAACTGGAAGGCCACAGGCACTTTATTAAAGAAATTTTAAAAGATTAAATTTAAGTATATGCAACTATAGTTTTCAATGTGGCAATTGGCAAAATTAAAATGTTGTACTGTAACTTGTTTTGTGAGCTAAATAAATAAATAAATAAATAAATAGGGGAGTAATATCCACAAATAAAGAGCCTCGTCGACAGACTATATAGATATTTAAACTACTAACAATAACTATTGCATTTTAATAAGGTGGACTTATCAATCATATGAAGATATGATCTAATAATGATGCGCGTGCGCAACATAACATCATTTGTCAACCAACTAAACACAGGTATGATGCATACAGCAGCTTTATAAAGTCACCAAGCGACAGACATTTTTTAAACAGAAGTATGCATCATTTCGTGTATGAAAGGACCAACTGGTCCAATGTAAATGTAACGCGTGGTGTCTGGTTTCTCGTTGTATTGTGATATGAATAATGACATCAGAGTGCGCGCGTATATTAATGCTACTTATTGCCGGCGTTGCGCCCTCACTAATACAATTTACTTACTTTGTATCGCAGACTTTCATTTACATCTTCTGTAGTGGACGCCAATAAAACGACCGCATGGTTTTGTAAAAATATTTATTCATTATAATTATATACAATTTAGTGTTTAGCAGCGCGCAGGTCGACGGCTGCGGTGGGTGCGTGCTCTTGTACATGCGATCAGTAAATGTAACACGAGAGAGATTAGCCTAAACCGAGAGCAGCACGTCCATTACAATACCATACAACATTATGAATTCACATTAAACAAATCAATTGTATGTCCACCGTTAAAAATATAAATTAGAAACTATTTGAATATAGAGTCTATTCTTCAAAACTTCGATACCATCACAATAGGTACTTATTTTCCTATTAATAGGTCGTTTCGTTTAAGAACACTCGCCAGTGTCATATGTCGTATAGATTTTGATGTGGCATTAAAAATTACTTTTAGATTTTTGAAACATAATACTTGATATGTTCAGTTACTGTACCAATTAGATAGGTACTGATAAATGACCCCGGAGGTAACTCCCAGTTACACTACAATAACACTTTCAGCTACATTTCACAAAATCCACGGTTACAATTATACATATTACTAGATTGTATGAAGCTATAACAATATACAAAATCAATTTTCTTAACACCATATAATCACGGGACGAGTGGCGATATCCAAATTTAAAACGATAAAAGTCGAGATGCGTTCGTGATGTTGAATTTGCGGAGTAATGTTCTTCATTACGCACGCGCTCAATGAAAGAGTTGACATGAAAAAAAGAACAGCTGAAAGTGATATACAATGAGAAACTCGGGTAAGCCATGAACACCCGTCACGATCGTGTGCTGTCGGAGGGTGACGTCAGAAACCATAAAGAACGGTTCATACGAAAAGTGAAATGAAGTGGAGGCAAAACATGTACCTATGTCTTAACATATCTGTGACTCGACAATCTCTGTCTACATCGCAAATGGACACGACACGAGGGCACAGAGATTAACACATAAAACTGTTCTAATAAATGATATAAAAATTGTGAATATTATGATGTGAAGTGAAGAAAAATAAGCTCTCATTCAAATACAATATAGATAGTTTCAAATTAGCTACGTACATTTTACATTGTCAAATCACTAGTCAATTTGTGTACTGCGTCCTAAGTCTGGTCGGACGCGAAGCTGCCGCGAACAACGCCCCTTACCGAATACAGAATCAAGGAAATCACAAGTGAGTATCGTCTTAATATCTTGCTAAATATAGTTGATTAAATTGAACGAATCTGAGTACAGATGTCGCTAGCTGAGCTGAGGGGGAGAGGGGGGGGGGCAGAGTTCTAAAGGCGCGCGTGCACTGCGTTTGTCTTGCTGAGTGACCTGCCGCATCCGCTCGAATGAACAACGTGTACTGGACTTAATATTTACTAGAACAACAGTTCTAAGAATGCGTTTCCACTAGACATGCGAAGAGCATAAGTTGACATCGAAAGGAAAAACAATTACATAAATCATTTTCGATACTAGTGAAATAAAGTATTTACCATTGCGCATTATTTGATTACTTCTCTAGTGGAAAAGCATATTGATTTTTTAATAAAAATTATATCGATGCGAGCGGCGGCGTCTATCACAATACATATTATATTACATAAAACTAACTCACACATTCTACAGACGCATACTATCGCTCTTAACCGACTATCACAATACGATCGCGGCCGAGTCCGCCGCGCGTCCACGCGACCGGGGCAACTGTTATCTGTTACACACTTTACAATATGCGCTTATCGGAAGTTCGGTAGTTCATACACACACACACGCACACACACGGCAGCGACCAGACTCGCGCATGTGTGCGTGGGCGCGGGCTCGGCCTCGGCGACGCGGGCCCGCGCGTATCGTTCTACGGCGAATCAATTTTTCTATAAAATAATATCACAAACATTTCAACTGGTTAAATTGAAATAAATGGCACCGTTCCGTCGTCGCGTCGAGACGAGGGAAATTTCGATGATCGAAAACGCGGGAGATTCGTCACACAGTGTAATTTTCATGGAGGCAAAAAATCGTTAATGCGAGCCAACGCTCGATTATCGAATACGATATATCCCATAAAACAATACGCGCGCGCGCGCATCGCCCCGGGGGGGCCCGCGCCCCGCGCGCCCGCGATATTAACACGATACATATTTATTATGTAAAATACGTTTCAATCGATTCGAAGGACTAGATCCTCCAGCGAGCGCCCGGTCGACGACGAGGATGCGGCGCGCGGGGCCCCGCCCCTCCTACTATAATATAAAAGCTTCTATAGTTTACAAAGTATGTACACCGGGGCCCGGGGCGCGGGGCGGTCTTCCCGACGTCCTGACGTACCGGAGTCTTCTCTGCCTCACGATCGAGTCGGCGGACGCGCGCCGGGAAACGACTCCAGAACGAAAGGAAGACGGCTCCGCGCCCGTCGATAGGAGCTTAAAATCTTTACATTTTTTTTTAATACATTTACAGTTTTAAATTTTTTTGTTGGGTCCACGGGTCCGTCGGCGGCGCCTAGAGGTCGCGCGGGTCGCGCGCGGGCATGGGCGGGAAGTGGCGCGGGTCGCGCAGGTCGTAGCCCCCGCGCGGGGGGGAGCCCTCCAGCGCCGCGCCCAGCTCCCCCGCGCGCTCCGACTCTGTGGGCCACCGCCACGACACTCCGCTCATATCCACCGCTGACGCCGGCCCGAGGCCCGCCAGCGATCGAACGTTTTCACATTACGTCCCCCGGTTTCGATCGATTCGTCCCCCGCTTCTCCGGGGGATGGTCGAAACGGAGGAACGTTATGAATTTGAACGGTGCGCGGGCCGAGCGGTCGGTCGCGTTCTTCCGTCGTCCTATCTCCGGAGGGTACGCGGAATATCTCGTTTGTTAAATCGGTTGCCGACGAACGGTCCGACGGAGGTGCCTTCGGTCGCGCTAGGGTCGCCGACCGGCTCGGTATTCTATTATATTTAGAAAGCGAATATACTATACTTTCGACCCCGGAATCTAACAAATTAATAAATATTTAAATGGAAAACGTTTACTCCGAGATGACGATGATGAATAAAATCACTTCAAAAGCAAAAGATTGCGGAAAGTATTCAGGCAAAAATATATAGCATCTTTTTAAATAAATACTGAAAGTAATTTACCGATTTTATATAAAATTAATAGATTTCTTCCTGCTCTCCATTTTTGTTAGTGATGCATTCAAAGGGAGAAATTTTCGGAAAAAAGAAATAAAAGAATGCACAAAAAATAAGTTTTATAAAAATAAACGAGTGCCTCTGTGTAAGAAAGAAATGTTTTTGTTTATTTTTCCATGAAATCTATAATGATTATTACAATTGCGAACGTTTAAATATTTAATTTTATTTATAAGTCAGGCCAAAGTTGCTAAACGGAATTGGATAATATTTAAAGCGAAAATAGTTTTATAAGTACTCTAGAAAAGCATGTAGGCGTAGAAAGTCAAGTCGGAGTCGTTTTGTGTTGCCGTCCACATGGTTGGCAACGAGCGAGGTCACCTCAGTCGTAACGTTCGTCGGCGACTGCTTGTGCTTGAACCGAAATTTATGCGGCGTAACAGAATCACGTGACGTTTCGCTTGATATCATTTGTTATTCATGAGTTTGAATAAAACTGCATGATATAAAGTTATAATTATTAATCAAGATCTGTCCTTGAAACTAACTCATGTAGACTTCCGAAATACCCTCCGCGAGAAAGTTTTAATCTTACCATTTTTCTAACATTTGTATAAATAAAGTAACAAATGACAGTTTCTTGCTAAAATATTGGTGAAATTTGTATGTTTATAGCTTCTAACGAGTAATCAAAATTCACAGTGAATGTAATACTTACAAAAAACCAAATGCATGCATCGATTCTACTTTCACGTCACAGAACAGAGAACAATAGAAGCAGCCGGTGAGAGGTATCGACGGATCGTCTTGTTTTAATTAATACATTGGCTTAATGTTTTTTATTAAAAAATCGCTAAAAACTCAATATTCTTTAATACTACCATAGAATTTATACAATCGATTAATCAAAAACTATTCGTTATTTATTACCTACAAATTGTTTATATATCGTTTACTTTTGAAATATACAATAGCTCGTTTATATCACAAAAACCTATGCAATGCTGTTTAGTCCAGGGAAATTGGTTATTGAGAATTAACTATGAAGCCATTTTTTATCTTACCGTTGTTGATACACACAGGATCGTGTTCAATTATGACCGAATAATTACTAACGCGCTGTGATGAGAATTATTTTCTAATATTCATTTTTACTTATTTCACGGTGCAAAATTAGGTCTTAAAATAAGGCCAGGAAAAAAATAGCGAGGCTGTTAATTACTTTTAGAAAGTTTTATGAAAAACGCGACAAATAGATTCGGTCCGTACAATGATGACATGTTACGTTAAATCTACTTAAATCTTTCGTTATGAGCTGAAAGAGTGCACATTGACAATTACATTTAATTTTATTTCCACAACTAGGAATAAAGCTATAAAAACCTTTGATATTAATGGATTAATTTTAATTAGTAACCTGACCTCGTTATAAAAATAAAACAGGCCAAGTGCCAGTCGGATGCGCGAAGGTTTCCGTGGTACTAGAAATGAACAAAAAAAAAAAAAACTTTTGTTGTATGAGAGCCCCCTTTGTTTAATTTTAAGAATTTATTTTTAAACTTACAATATAAATACTAGAGATGAGCCGAATATTCGTTTGGTATTCGACATTTTTTTTTCATTATTCGTATTTGGCCGAATTATTCGGTTGTGTAGCCGAATATATTCAGTTCGAGTATTTCTATTTTCTTGGCTACACGGTATAGAACTAAAAGACAAAACTTCTTATTTTAATATTTATGTTACAATATAAGTCAAAGAAATCCTATAAAGAATGTTTTTAATAAAATATGGCAATGTAGCTGCAAATCTTAAATACTTATTTTATAAATTATAGAGATCAGAAATAAAATAAAAGTTATCTTTTATAAGTAATAATAAACATTTAAATATTTTAATAATTAATTAATGGTAAATTATGGTGCAGAAACATTAAACTCTCGGCTCTCTCTGGCAAAAGTCTGTTAGGTTTTTAACTCACTTCAAAATAAAAAAGTAGGAGGTTATTTGTTCGCCGGTGATGTACCTATTTTTTTATATGTATGTTCACGAATATGCCACTTCCCGTAAGTGAACTATAAAAAAGGGATAAATAATAATTATCTCAAAGCTACTTTTTCAAGAAACTGCTATTGAAGTCTGGCTCCTATAATTTAATTAATAACTAAATACCTTCGTCTCACTTCAATAGCACTTTCTTGAATAAGTCGCTTTTGAGAGATTAGTATCAATTAAAATTTTATTCTTCAATATGGGTTCCCTGCTTCCGAAATCATTATTCGCTATATTGCGAAGGAGTACCAGGAGCACACTCAGAAACACTCTGGCTAAATAAAAATAATGAAATGCCAACCGTATAATGCAGCCGAATATCCGGTTCGGTAAGTAAAATCGAATACTACTCGTTTATTCGGTGAAACCACTATTCGGCGCATCTCTAATAAATACATATTTTGTAAATAGTTCAAGCGTCTACCAATTGTCGTTAATAATATAGACCAGTAATCCACGTTTGTTGTATGTGAGCCCTTTAAATATTTATTTTATTGTGGTTTTTATTATTTCTTGTTGAAGCGCAAGGAAAATTCATTATTCTGTGAAAATTATAACTATCTATCTTTCACGGCTAATGAGATACACCCTGGTGACAGACGGACAGACAGACAGCGAAGTCTTAGTAATAGGGTTCCCTTTTTACCCTTTGGGTTCGGAACCCCAAAAACGTAGCTATATTTCAGTTTAAGCAAAAACTCATTTTAAATTGACACTCGTTGTAGACATACGTGACTTTCAAATGAAAATTTATCAGGTTAATCAACATATGGTTTTTGAACTAAATCGTGTAAATAACTAGTGCAGGGGAAATCAAAACTCAAATTTAGATACTATAAATATTGGTTCAAATTAAAATATACTGAATTCGAAAAAATATTAGAAAACCAAAAATTAACATTCGGCATGCGCTACTCTTGAAATTACTTGCATATAAGCGGTTTTTTAAACTTCCGTAGAGGTAGTGTAGTCCAAAATATAAAAAAAAACAAGATTCCTTCTGTGATATATTGTGATGGAAGTGGTGTATAACCAGGACAAAAAGTAGTATGGTTTAGAATTATGTTTCATTAACTTTTAAATTATATTTTTTAATACATGCCATGGTTCCATGGACATAAATTCACAGACAACAAGTAGGCACTGTATTTGTGTTATGAAAGAATGTGGTGATATAAACTTTTCTTAATTTTGCCTACTTGAGTAAAACACGTAGGCCGATTGTACGTGCAACTTTAGAACGTGTAATTATACTTGTTTTAATTTAAGATTATCATCACACTACTTTTATTGTTTCTGTTCTGTAATATATCATCAAAACAAAAACAAGAAAGATTAAAGCCGCCTTTTGACACATCAGTTTTTTTGAAGATAGTCGATTATTATAATATTTTTATGTTTGAATAAAAATATTATAATAATCGACTCTCTATCAAGAAGAAATCAGTAATAATATTGCCAAAATAAATTATGACCGATTCTTTGATGTGGACAGGCGGCCTTAATTATTTAAAATTTCAATATAAGACAGTGTAACGCGAGCGACGCACACAACAACAAAGCAACACAACACGCACATGACGATGGACCCTCGCCCCCCCACACACGCGCGCACGTGTACGCGCACGCGCCTGCGGGCGAATGTTGCCCGAATCGACGACTACCCTTCGTTAGTAACATGCACAATGCGAACATACAACTCGCCACTGTGACGCACAATTTCGCCAATTTTAGAGTTAGTACAAGTGATCTCTGGGAGAATTTAGTATACAGGATCTAAAGGATATATATCACTAGAAGCAATCGATTGTTAAATTATGCTTTCATAGTGAAAAAGTAAAAGTGAAATAGATTTTAGTTTCATTTCCATAAGCTGAAAGAGCGCGTTACACGATGCCTGTCGGCACTAAACAAACACGTAAACACACACGCGCACACGCAGCGACACAACACACAAGCTCTCGTCTTGTCTGCACGCCCCGATCCGACTCCGACTTATATAACCACGGAAAATAAAGAGTGTACAGAAGATTATGTACCGCCCGTCTAGATAGCACTACGAAATCGTCCGGATTGTGAAAGGTAAGGAGGGACGAAGTAAATTTTTTAAGTATTTTTCATCAAGAATATATCTACGAAAATTAAATATATTAAAAAATTCAAGCATGAATTAATTTGCTTGCGGCCGCTATCCTTATGGACATGTCGTGGCTTAGATTTTGTTGTTGCCCTATAAGTCGATACGAGGTGGAGAAATGTTAGAAATCAAAGTATAACTTCTCGTTAAGGTCTTTTTCGAAGCTATAGCGAGAGTAATAACGTACACTTTATATATTAGACATAACAAAATAAGAAGTACTTTCCAAACTTAGTGATTTGTTTTTCATGATGATAGTGAACTAACTCGATAACTTGTTATTATTACAAATTATCGAAGCCGGCGTTAAACGATGCCCGTGCGAAACGAACGGTTATTGTATCGTACACACCGATACACCGAATTAAAAAAATCGAACAGTCCATAAATTTTGAAAACTACATTTTAAGACCTCTTAAATACTACCGTATTTGGGAGGGATTCGTTTGGCCTGTTCATTTGCACTGTGCGCTCTCACAAAACAATCCTTTATTAAATTAATAACAACATTAAATGTGAAGTGTTAGTTGATATCGACAAAATAAGTCATTGACAGGGCAATCGAGTAACAAAGGTTATTATTAATCACAGGGCGGCATCGAGTTTGTATTATAAACAGGCCAAGTTCTTTGCCTTCAGATTGATATTTTAAAACAAAATTGGTTGAAGATTTTTATTCGGAGCCTAGCATAATACCCAACCGCTATAGATATTTTTTTTAATAGGTCCTACAAAAATCGAGTGGAGATTTTTAACAAAACATTTTTTAATGCTTTTTTTATTTCTCATTTACTAAAAAGACCGATTACTTCTGGTGAGATTCAATACAATTAGAAAGCAAAGCAGAGCTCAGAACCAAAAACGAGCCCATAATCGTATTCCGTAGCGAAAATTATCGTATGTTGAGTAAAAATCGACAAAATTATCGCGCACCAGCGCAATATGTTAAAATTTCACAAGTAATTTTAAACCCAACTGCCCATGTAATAAGTCTTAAAATCAAATGAAGTAATTTTTCACATTTGTCTAACCTGATGTGCTGTTTACTGTACATAAAGTAATTGGCTAGTATCTTTATTCGATATAAGTACTCGATACTTGTATTCTCTTTTTTTGTATCGAATAAGAAGGACTCGCTTTTTTATGTTTACTAGGTAACGGAAATTAATAAATCATACGTGATTCTTGACTATTGCTTGGTCACTACAAAACGCCGAATAAACCACCGCTACACAAGATTCATTGAAAACATCTACAACAATACAACTATGAAAGTAATTCTAATGGAATCTACCAAACCAATATCAATCACCCAACTTCCCCCAAAGCTATTCACACTAGTTCTGGAAGATTTATTTAAGAAGCTTTTATGGGATCAACGTGGTCTAAATATAGTAGGAACTAGATTGAGTAACCTAAGGTTCGCGGCAGATATAGTTCTTCTCACAGATAACCATGATAACCCAGAAGAATTACACATTATGATCAAGGGGCCGAGTGACGCCCCTATAAAAGTTGATTTGGAAATTAACTTGGATAAAACCAATATAACGGCGATACCATTACCATAACCATCAACCAAACCAGTATAGAACAAGTAAAGGTACGTATACTTAGGGCATCTTACCAGTACTCATGTCTTCACCAGAGTCACTATCAATAGATTAGAAGTAGCCCAGAGGGCAGTAGAGAGAAAGCCGGTAGGAGTAACAGTATTGGGCCGCAAAACAAACAAATGGCTTCGAGAGCAAAGCAGAGTTGCAGACGTAATAAAACGGATGGCGCACTTTAAGACGTGGGCAGGACATTTGGACCGTAGCACGAAAATTCTTGGCGCAAACGGCTCCTCGAGTGGGTAATTAGTGCGTAGACACTAGCGGTTGGAAAGAGCTCAATCCAGAGATGAATGGAAAATGCTTAAGGAGACTTGCACTGATACAGTACAGACAGGCTCAAGAACAAGAAGACATGATTCTTTTAAAATTATTGAAGAAGTTCACATGTCTCAGGGGACACACATTAAAAACCGATTATTAATCGCTAATAAGAATAATATTGTCTATGGACAAATTTGTATTTGTAAATACAAATGAAAATCGTGCTATTAACCAAGAGAAAGAATAAATCATGTTGCTGACTATTAATGGTATATAAAGGGGAATTCATAAAAGTTTGTATAATCAGAAAAATCTTGGAACATTGCAACATCGGGATTTCGGAACGCAAGTTTCGATATTGAAATATCCAATATCCTAAAGCCAGTTATACTATTCTGGCAAAAAAATGGCTTCGAACTCGACGTCGAACACAGTACTGTTACATAATAGTTTCAATGAAATAAAACCTATATTATCTTTTGAAATAGGTTTATTTGTCTCGACCGCAACTCTATAATAATTAAAAACGGACACTATAGCCAGGATAGCTATCCACTGTACTGCAGAAATGTCATGATTTAAAATATATTTTATAGTCCTTCAGCTGAGCATTTATTAGATCTTTGCACGAAGCATTTTGTAAAATATGATGTCAGGATCACACTGTACAGCATATTCTATGTCTATTGGTGTGGAAATATTACATTTTTATTAAAAATTCAATCCATACAAAAATTTAATATTAATAGTATTCAACAGATCAAGTCATATCATATGCAACGTCGGATAAATGAAAAAATAAAACGGAATGTCATATTTAAAAATGTTTATCACAATTTTTACGTTCACTTAAATCGTAGTAAACTAACTCGATGTTGTGTCTAAAGGCGGCCATCGCCCGCCGCGCACACAGTAAGGAGCGACGTGTTCACAGACATGTTTTTCGTCTTTTCGTCAATGATGTTAGTCGATTTACGAAAGGAGAGAGAAATAGATATGATACAAATACAGGAAACAAACACATTATTAAAATTCGGATACTCAATGCGACAGCTCGTATTAAGGTCGATTCGATAAAGGATCGGTATTATAAAAATACTATGCATATAAAAAACGTTCGAGGGCACGGGAAATAAATAAAAATAAAAAACACTAACGAGATTTCGGTCCTCTGTACGCTCTTTATTTGGGGCTCCTCCGGTTTCCCTTCGTGCTCGTCGCCCACTCACCTCGACGGGCCTACTCCACGGGCGGCCGCCGCTCGCCCGCGCCCGCCTCCGCCGCCGCCGCCGCGCCCGCGCCCGCTCCTGTGGGTGTGGCCACTCACGCTGTACTCGCCGCCTCATCGCCTCACCGCCTCGCGCCGCCGGACACGATCGACCCCGGCGCCGGACCGCCGGCCCGACGCCGCTCGCCACATATCCACATATCACCGTCGGGAGGGGGGGTGGGAGGTGGGCACGGATCCGAGGCGGCACACGAAGCGGGCAGCGTTAGCGAAGTGGGAAAGGTGGAGGGTGAACGAAACCACCGTTCGGAATTAGTAAAGAGCATCCAGAGAGCGACCGTCGGCGGGTCTTTCTATGTACATCGGGGCGGCGTTCGCTCGGTGTCATGCGTGACGTGCGTGTACGCGGGGGGGGTGTGAGTGTATGTGTGTGTGTTTGTGTGTATGCGCGTGTGCGTGTATGTACGTGTAGCGCGTACGGCGCGCGAAGTGTGCGAGGGGGCGGGGGCGGGGGCGGGGCGAGTACCTGTCATCCGCGTGGGGTCTCGTCCGCGCAGCGCGCCCGCGTAACTGTTGCCGGCCGCCGCTGCACGCCGCCCAGAACAATACCAACAGTCACCGCCGGCGCCGGGCCCGCCGCCGCCGCCGGACCGGCCCGGCCCGGGGCGGCGGCGGGCCCGGCCACCCGGCCCGAGCTCCTCGTCGAAACGAGGATCTCCGCCGCGCTTCGAGGGCGGACCGAAAGGAAGAGAAGGAAGGAACGAGCGCGAGCGTAATTCCGCTCGAGCGGCCGAGGGGAACCCTCCGAAAGGCCGAAAGCGACGAGCTAAACTGTCGAATACCGCGCGAGGGGAGAGGGGAACCGCGACAGAGAACGAAACGGGGGAAAGAACGTGTCCGGCCCGGCGGTGCCGACGCGGACGATGGCGTCCGGCCGGCGACCGCCTCGCCGTTTTACTGTATGGCGAGATGCGAGTCTGTCGATCGGACGGAGCGATCGGAGAAACATCAAAGAAACGAAGAGAACGGAGGGGGGTCTAGAGTTCGCGGGCGGTACCTTCGTGCGGCGCGGGGGCCGGGGCGTGGGGGCCCGCGGCCTCCACGAAGGCGTGCTGCCGCAGCAGCGCGCACTCGCCGCCCTCCGCCGCGTCCAGCGCGTACACGTACAGCACGCCCGCCGAAGTGGCCACCAGCAGCCGCGCCGCCCGCCCGACGCTGCACATACACACGCACACGTCGAATCGCCATCGGAAGTACACGCGAGGAGCGTTCGATGTATTCTCGGTATAAAATCTCCTCCGAGAAAACGTCGAACGGGGCAGGGGGCTACGTACTTGGTGATGGCCGCGACGGCGCGGTGGCCGGTGGCGGGCAGGCGCGCGGCGGCGAAGGCGCGGCCCTGCGCGAGCACGTCGGCCACCTGCGCGGGCAGGTACCCCGCCCCCGCGGACACGGCGGACGCCAGCCAGCCCATCCAGCCGCCGCCCTCGGCCGCGCCCGCGCCGCCCCCCGCGCCCGCCGCCTCCTCGCCCTCGCCGGCGCCCGCCTCGTCCCCGGCCCCGCCGGCCCCGTCCTGCAGCCGGAACACGTGCACGGTCTCCGTGTTGGAGGTGGCCGCGAGGAACGCGCCGCACGCGCTGAACGCGAGGCACGCGATCGACACGCAGCGCTTGACGCCGCGCCGGAACTCGTAGAGGCGCGTCCGCTCGGGCACCGCGAACACGCGGATCACGGTCCCGCGCTCGGACGCGGTCGCCAGCCGGCGGCCGCACATCGACCACGCGAGCGCCGCGAGCGGGCTGTCGTGGGCGCTTATCACGCATTTCGCGTTCTGCGAACGTTCGCGGAGGTCGAATGTCAGGACGAGGTTCGAGACCGAGAGACGGGTCGCGCCGGGCGGCCCGGAGAGCCGAGCCTGCCGTTTCGAAGGGGATCCCGCTCGGGCTTCCGGGCCGCCCGGCGCTCGGGACGAGTACCGACCAGGTGTACCGCGTCGAAGATCTGCACCTCCCCGACGGCGCTGGAGCCGGGGTACGCGACGTAGCAGTGGTCGACGCAGGGCGAAAGCGCGCACAGGCCGCGCGGGTTGGGCGGCGTGTCGCGGATCGTGTGCAGGATCTTCATGTCGCGGATGTTGTGTATGTGCAGGGACTCCTCGAGGCACACGATCAGTCTCTGCAACCACCGAAACCGGTTACGTTCCGTCCTCCGTTAGTTATCGTAGAACGCTCACGTTCCTCGCGGACACGTCGCATCGATTTGAGTAACTCACCGATCGATTCAGCTTCACCGCTAAAATGGTATTGCTGTAGCTGTAGTTACATATTTCTGTACCTTTCTTGTAGTGACAGACTATCAGCTTCCTACGAACAAACAAAAACTCCATTTCAACACTTAGATTCTCACCGAAACTTCCAGAATTTCGAGAAACGAGAACGAGAGAGAGAGAGATGAGAGAGCGACCGACATCGGCAGTGACTATATTATATTCTTGACAAATCACACGAAGCGGGCCGCTCGATCTAGTCCTTACGATATTCGAGACGAGCTAGCTCCTTATCATTGTACTTCAAAAGCCTAATAAGTTTCAATTAGAATAACGAACATTTTGAATAAATTCATGAGAGAATACTTATATGTACTACGAAATCTTTGATCGTGTATATGTTTAAAGTTAATGTATGTGTCAAACAGCCATTTTCACTAACTTTGAACAAGGTATAGCTTATGTATGTATTATATTTTATATGATAATATTTATTACATTATAGTATATGTAGGTCTGTTATAAACATCAAATCATAACTAATTAACAATCATCTACTATTCCATGTTTATAAATTGTTTAAAGATACACCATCCACTACCCCATGGATCACTTTGAATGATAAAACAATCGGCGGCCATTGTACGAGTACGTCTTCTGTTTTCGTTATATTCAACAAAACGAACATAATGATATTTCTATAAATAAAATTTATATGAGTGTACGTCTTACTGCAGCTTGACTTGATTAGATTTCAAACCTATTGTGAGACATATATACACTTGACCTGAATATTAAATAAATATAAATAAGGACAACATACATCGCTCAAGTCCCAATCTAACTAGCTTAACGGCTGTCATATATAAATCTGAGACAATATAAAGTAAATTTCTACATTAATGCGACTGGGAAGAGAACTTAAGATGCTTTAGAACCGTTGCGCGAGCCGCTCGACCATGGACACAGTCGATTCATAGTCATAGTTATGTTAATGGTTAATAATATTGCAATATTGTTTTGGTGGAAACGCATCGCTATTAATTTTGGCTGCAGAGTAATAATGGGTCATATTTAGGGAGGGCCGGAGTTATTTTGAATTAAAAAAGGTGATGTAACACTTGTCTGTCATCTTGGAAAAATAATCGGAGACATTACAATGCAAACAAATCAACAATAAAATATTTTATTTAAAATTATTCTATACACTGCAAAGCGTGAAAATTATTTTATGGATATTTATATTCTCGTTTGAATCGCTTTGTAAAACCGATGCAACAACATTCCGTTTGTTTGTTTAAAACGTAACCTTCCATAAGAACAATTGTGAGAGGCAGTGTCACGTTGGAAAATAGCAACAGCATCCAAGTGTGCGTCGGTCGGTCCGTCAGCCGCCGTCAGCCGCCGCCGCCGCCGCCGCCGCGGCTGATGTGACGGCGGCGGTGTCGCGCGAGGACGCACCACTTACGCGCACATACTTGTTGTTGCGACGCTAATTATAACCACCGGTTGCGGATATTTCGGGCCGCGGACGTGAACTTGGCCCGGCCACCGACGTACCTTCGCTCGATACACACAATATTGCATAACTCTTTATATAGAAATATAAAATATTAGTGGTAGTGAATTAAAGTTGCGTTTCCATTGAGAACAATATGTTAATTTACGCCATCGAGTGATAAGTTTAAATCTACTTCGGTCAGTTACACTCGGACCCCTCTTCCCCACGGCCCGCGACCTTTCGGGGCCTCTAGTCCCTTCCCAAACCACATATAACGTACGCCCTTTGATTATACCTATACTTGTATATAATCAAAAAGTATAACTACAACACGACGACTGACATTCATATCTTCTTAATTTTATTGTTCATTACGTTAATAGCTCAACTACTCAACTCTCATCCGAAAATTAGGCTGAAATCAAGAGAGACTGAATATAATGATTTTTTATACAAATATTCGAGAAATTGAACAGTTTGTCGCAATGTCAATAGAATGTGATATGCCCAGAAACACAAATTTTGAAGATGTGATTATCGATTTTGCTAAATTAAAAATCTAGATGGATAGCTTCAACCAGCATAAATGTGTAGGGATTACATTATATTATTATCTATTCCTCATAATATCTAGTGCTACTGCGCCATTATCCTGATGTGCTCAAGGCCCTGGTCATTACTTCTATATATTCCGTTATGATGAGCTTCAAGACTTAACGACAATGAAGTTTGTAAGTTTTAGATACTATAATTGGAGTAAAGCTTAGACCTATACTATAAACACGGAAGAGCCGTCGTCTGTTACTTAAACATAATAATACAAAAAGTTCAAATCGCAAAACCAATTGTGATCGATGTAGGCCTGCGGCTACCTGCTCGTACTTTTGTGACACAAACAAAGGCGAATTGCATGGAACGGACGGAATGTTTAACAAACTTGACAGTTTTCAAAATTCGACATTTTAAATGAATACGGCCTCGTGTTATCTATTTACAATCGACATTTTACAAATCAGCGATCGTTTGGACGTCATCGCTTGTAAATAAATGAATATTACACATCACGGCTGCGACATCGACACTGATAAAACGTGTCTTATTTATCGTAGATAATAAAATAAAAACATGGTACTGCGTCATAATTTACTGTGTATAAGGTAAGGGTCTTGCTTACGCATTACGGTCTCGAGAATATGATAACACTAATTACAAACTACGCCGCAATATCTACAATTCATTTGTTCTATTAGACCAATGTTTATCTTATTAAAATACCATAATATCGTAGACATGCCCATGTTCGGTAAGATAAACCACAATGACGACATTTTCATTTACCGTCCGTCGGTGCAAGAAGCATTGTTCTTATGTGTATAGCGTAGCAACTTGCTAATGTTGCATGTCATTCGTGATAGGAGCGAGAGGCCGCGACGGCGCGCTGACGTCACACGGCCGAGGCAGCCGCGCGGGCGGTCCGACGCGCGCCCGCGCCTTCGCTGATAATGGTCCGCGGCCGTTACAACCGTCCGTCCACAAGTTCACTGTCGCCCGTCGTAATCAACATTTCATCGCGTTATTTGAATTTTGAACTTGGTGAAATAATTAACGACTTTAAAATCTATGAACTCTATTTTAACTTTTTCAGTCACAGTTTTGCACTGACAATAATATGATTTATTTTATTTACTAATTTTTGTTATTGAGGACCATGAAAATATGAAAGATTATACATATATACATTTTTTCTTAATATTAAAGGTCATATGTTATAGATTTTAGCTTTACGCCAGTGGCTTCACTTGCATTGTCCATATAAACTTAGCTTTCTCTGATTGAAACCCCTAATTACTAACAACTACAATAGGTTATAATGAATTACTAGAATTAGTTTATTTTAAGTTTGATCTCCTTTTGGTTCTGCAAGATAAAGGTGCATCATCCACAATATGATATTTGGTTTCATGTTTTTGCATATTTGTTTGTTCATCAGACATCAGAGTCACTTCAACTGTTGCAGAACCAATGATTTCAATTAATCAAGCATATGTTTTAATTTATTATAATAACTAAGCAAATATTATTGTTATAACTAAACAAAACTACTTTTAAACGGGTATAATGCGTTAAAAATTACTATTAATGAGTACTGCAACTGAAAATTTTACAAGTCACTATTATAATGTTCAATTACAGACCTTTTCATCATCCACATTTATATTCATGTTCTGGGTGACCAAAATAAAAGTAAAAAATGAGAGAAATTAAAAAATGTCAGCACTGATAGGAAGGGAATCATTTACATAATATTATGGGACAGGATGGAATGCATGTTTTTAGGAATGTTGATGGACTGGGGAGAAATAAAGACAACAGAAAATATAGATTAGTATAATGATAAAATTAGAAAAATAGAAAAGGATGTTCTGCTTAGGGATGCACTAAGCTCACACTGGATAGAATTAAAGCAGGTAGAAGCTGTATATATTATACATGAGAAATTGACACAAGTGCAAGATTATTATAGATTAAAGCCGATTATAGATTTAAACAGACTTATGTAAAATATACTACACGTAACAATAATACACATAACCTTTACTTTAATTATAATTTTATTTATGTCTTTTTAGTTAGACAAATTACCAGGTCAATTCAGAAAGTGAAAGAACAAAGTCCATATTTTTAAACTATATCATATATATTATTTTTATTAGTATTACTGTTATTATAATCATGATAAACCTTTTTGGAATCCTTGTATTATGCCCTTTAATTCAATACCGATATTGTAGTATTTGAAATAAAAGTAGGTAATTTATCATTAAATATAATGGCATCACACAGTAGCCATATTTTTTTTAATGTGACTATCTAAGAACACTTAGGTTAATAAAACAAATCTAATGATGCCTCAATTATATGAATATGTTCAGTGGTTCTGAAGATAGGTGTAATAAAATATATTACATAAGTATATACATACAAGATATGCATGAAACACATAACCCTTCCTTTGCAGTCAGGTAAAAAGAATTATTGCACATTGCAACTGGTTTTTAAATTACCTATTTAAATCTTATTTGCAACTATTATTTATGGAAGATAGGAAATTTTAATATGATAGTCATACCTGGGTGCCGAAACTGTAACAATCGCCACAAGGGAGCTGCTGAATAGTCGGTCCACAAGGCAAGTGTCCTGCCCTGAACGACTAGCGTAGATCTCCTCAATTCCATCATCAGGAGTTAAAGAAAAAAGATGATAGCCACTGCTGCTGCCAGCTACCAATGAACTGCACAATTATGTTACAATTAATAATTTAACAGACCACCTTTATATTTCAAACATAAATCATCTGATGACCTCAGCACATTTCTTTTAATGAAACCCAAACATTATAATCAGGGTCATTTTACAACTAACAAAGGAGCTATATGGTGACCAGTTAACTATTATTCATAATCTTTTCTTGGTATGCACATGTTATTAGTATTTTAAGACAAAGAAATATAATAATAAAGCATGGTACTGTATAAAAATATATATTATGAATAAAAAGAAAATTGTGCGAAAATCATATGTTTGTACGCCATGTTTGTTTACGACAGCTGTTGGTGTGGGGGCAGCGTCACCTCAGTTACGAAACTAGTGGCAATGGCGCGTTGCATCACCATACCACCACCGCTACCGCCAATATTTGCTATGCTGCTATGATCAACGCTAATTTGTCACATTACGTACTTTCGCAACTGCTTTAATGGAAACCTTGAGATCTAAATTACCAGATGTTGGGGTCGTCAGTGCGATATAACTAAACATTCTAAACAAAGAAAATTCAAAATTATAATTTACGATTTACCTATTGTATTTAACATGCTAACTTACGTGCAATCTTGATTAAATTGTACGAATATTCCTCCTGCATTTGTTCCCTCGGTGTTTTGGCCTCCTCCTAAACTCATTGGAGCGTTCCAAAAAACGGTTGTTCTAAAAGCTACAAACTACACAAGACATACGCGCTCTAAAATATTGTTTATGAGCACTAAATGTTCCACCACTTTAGTAAATACTTTAAAACCAATTAATCGTCACAAGTAGATTTTTGACACAAAGAATGACCTTGCTACTAAAAACAAGCCCCCCTGCACAACACAAATCGCATCGCCTGTAACAAAGAGTAAAGGATAAAGCACAGAAATAAAGATAGATACCACAGATCATACCACGCACCACAGAACAAATTATTTAAGCAAGAGGCAAAAAGTCTATAATAACTAAAGCATAGAAACCACTCTAAAATACATTTATTCGTCTTTTTTTCCCTACGTCCCGTATTTATGCGTTAGAATAAGATGTGTAATATAAGTCAAGTCTTAATTTATGTAGATTGTCACAAGTTTTTTCATACCCATAGATTTCCTATGAGGAAGTATTTAAAAAATAAAAAATAGTTCTTGAAATCATACTAGATGTCACTCGCGAGTTTTGGATTTTGTTTATGATATTCATTCAAATTTTATTTCTGACGTAATAAATGTAAATTGAGTATTTTCGATTAATAAATATGACATCGTTTTGTGTTTCTTATAATGTCATTCCTTTTCAAACATCAAGTCCTAAACCCCTATCAATCCGGCTTCCGTGCTAGTCATAGCACAACCACTGCACTGGTAAATGTCACCGATGATATAAGGTCAGGTATGGAACATGGAAAAGTAACGGTTCTCTCATTACTCGATTTTAGCAACGCATTTAATACCGTTGACTTTGACATTCTGCTTGGCACATTACGCTCTATTAACATATCTCCAGCCGTAATTGACTGGTTTCGTAGTTACCTGTCTGGACGCCGTCAGCGGATACGCATTGAGGATACCTTTTCAACTTGGTGTGATATTTCTGCTGGGGTACCACAGGGTGGCGTTCTATCTCCATTACTTTTCGCTATATTTATCAACTCTATTTCACGCCAGTTAGTTTCATCCTACCACCTTTATGCTGATGATTTACAAGTTTATTCCCAAGCTTGTCCTGACCAACTATCTTTTGCGATCAATGCTCTGAACCGTGATTTAGAGAAAATTTGTGATTGGAGTAAGTCCTACGGCATAAAAGTAAATGCTTTGAAAACCCAAGCCATTATTGTTGGCAGCCCTGCAATGACAAATAAAATTAAGTGGTCATGTTTACCTGCAATAATGTTTGATGGTATCATTGTAGCCCCAAGTGACAGCGTACGAAATTTAGGTATAATCATAGACAAAAACCTGACATGGGGATCTCAGATCGAGCAAACGAGTCGTAAAATCTTTGCTGCAGCTGGCTCCTTGAAGAGGCTGCGTAATTTCTTACCAGTGGCCACTAAAATTGCGCTCGCACAATCCCTTCTTCTTCCAATTCTGGATTACTCTGATGTCAGCTATCTAGATTTAACTGAGGAGCAATTAAATAAACTTGAGAGACTCCAAAATTTTTGTATTAGATTCATATTTGGGTTGCGCAAATATGATCATATATCTGATTTTCGCACTAAGCTCAAGTGGTTGCCAATTCGTTTTCGTCGGAATGCGCATATTGTTTCCCTGCTTTACAATATTCTGTTCAATCCTTTCTCTCCAACTTATCTTAAGGAACGCTTCAAGTTCCTTCGCGATTCACACTCTCGCGCGTTGAGATCATCAGAGAGCTTAAAATTACAGATGCCGATGCATTCCACAAAATTCCTTGATAAGTCATTCGCAGTTCAGGCTGTTCGCTTGTGGAATGCATTGCCGGAAGAAATAATGCGCGCTCCATCACTGCACTGCTTTAAGAAGATGTTAAGAGAATATTATTTATCACTTCAAGTATAATACGCTATCGTTTTCATCCTACTTCTACTGTATACTTTTTTAGGTACTGTTATATTTATTATGATATTATTATTATTTTATGTATATATGCATATTTATGTATGTATATTTATGTATGAGCTTGTGTGTATGTATGTATGTTTATATATGAAAACATGTTTTCTCGCCATGTAAGACACCATCTACTGCCCACCTACTTAAGTAAGTCCAGTCTAACCTGCGGTTGCCTGGAAGAAATTGCTTTTTAGCGATAAGGCCGCCGATTGTACCACTAAATTGTATCGATTCTCCTTTTGTTTAATTATGGTGTACAATAAAAGTATTCATTCATTCATTCATTCATTCATAATGTCTCACTTTCAAACTAATTTTAATTTATTTTAATTGTAAGTTTAAGTTGTTTATTATGTTACGTGTAAAGGAACGATGTTTGGTTGATACGTCAACATTAGTGATGAGCCAACTTATTGGTTGCTCGTAACTTTCGTCGAATTCAGGTTTGGAATGGAGAACAAAAATGATGATGAAGATGAAGTGTCATTATGCATCCACAAAACGAATGATATTAATATAAATATCAAAATCAATTCAATCTAGACTGTTACATAGTACTTGTGAAAGTCGAAAACTTTACCAATGGTTTGCAAAACTAAGGCGGGAGATCTCTTACTGACAAGAAACGGCAAGAAACTCAGCAAGGGCTGCTTTTTTAATTTCAACTAAACAACTCAACTATACTATATTTGAGGGATCGTAACCACCTAACGCACACGATACCACCGCAGAGATTTTAAGAGACCATAACAACTCTAGGTACTTAGTAAATAATATATTTCAATAAAACGGATTTCTAGAGTAGGTTGTGTAGGAATTCAAATTATTATTAACAATATTATTGTAAGAACCAAAAAGAACAAACCCGCCGTACGAATTAACTTAACACATGGCTCGACGTCCGCCGTCGACATGCAAGATCAGTAGCAATATAATAACTGTACGTGTCTTTGACATTTGAAATTTAAAGTTACAACCTTGCTGTTCGTTTAGAGCAGACGTTTCTTGTTAATTGCTGAATGTTTATTAAGATGATTTAATTATGAATATAAGATTTAATAACTGATAATAGTTTTATAAAGTCTTAATTTCGAAAGCACAAGTTATTTGCACGTTACACTTTGCACAAACGTCATTTTAGCCAGCAGTTATGTTATTTTGTACGAATATATAGTATATTTGATACATATCGGGTAAGTTTATAGATAATAAACGGATTTTTCTTAAAAATTATTGTTTTTATGACTTTTGTTGCTGATTAATAAACCCTATTCATTCATTCACCATACATAATATAAAAAAAATATTGAGAATTGATGTAGTTTTGTTGTTGTAAGTTCAACAAACAACTAATAGCAATAAAACTAACTTACCTAGTTGTTATTTTTTCAGAACTTGTTAAATGTTAAAATGAAAATTCCTAGACCTACTATGACATAAGTACCTATTTTATTTATAAAACGTAATATTATTGTATACCGTAGTTAGATGCCACTTTTAATTATATCACAGCATTCAATTGATTTCCATAAATTTAAAAAGCCTCTGTGCTCACTTCCATTATGTTAGTTTCCATTTTCCTCTATACAAATAAAAAATAAATTTATTCAAAGATTACTTTGTATTAACCGAGTTGCGATTGCATAACTCGAACTAGTTAAATTTCAACTCGATATTAATCCAAGTTATCAGATCCATAACAACACTAACAAATCTATTCTCTTTGGTTTAACGTCATGAATTGACGTTTAGATCCAACAATTTGTGCTGCCATCTAGTAACATAATTTTTTGTAGTTTCTTTATTTTTTTTAAATACTTCCTCATTAGTTTTAGCTTAATAATGTTTGTTGTCGACATTTTATCGATAAAAACGAGTTGATCTAAATAAAATACGGTGGTATTGAAGCGTTGGTTTGTTGATGGGGGGTGAAAAACATCCCCCCCCATTCAGGTAAAAAGAACAAAACAAAATAACGTTTTAACAATCTTTATTTTATTTCTCAGAGGTAGGTATAGATTCGCTCGTATAGTTCTTGTATTAGGGGTTAAAGTACGAAGTTGCCGTTTTATTGTAATAGGTTCCTTGAATTGAAATAGAATCTTCATGGTTTAAGGTTTTCGAAATAAACTTTTTCAAATGGTTTCTATGATGTTCTTCTTTTATTAAAAAATTGTGAAACATTTGAATATCGACTTTAAATTGTATTCGTTATTCAACTTAGACAAGAGTAAAAAAAAAATTAAATCCGAGTTCTGACGTGCAAGTAACGTGACTACCATTTGTTTCGTGATTTGAACAATTATCTACGTGACAAGAAGTTTTCTTCCCAGAAGGCAGTACAAAATGATTACACACAGTTTGTGCAGTCTAGAATAGCCTAGATCCTCAAAGTTCTATCGCAAAGGCATAAATGATCTTCCTTTTAGATGGCAGCAATCTATAGATAATAATGGTAATTTCTTCTCTTCTCTATCGTTGCCTCACTGCTGAGGATCGTGACTCCGTGTCATCTTGCCAACCATCTATCTCCATCAGTTTCGCTCAGCTGCTTGGTAGAGTGCAGCACTGACCGGTATTTCAAGTACCTCCGAGATCTGGTTTGACCAACGTTTGGGGCTCCGGCCCCTGGGTCTTTTCCCCTCTATTTTCCCCGTAACCATAAAGCGTTCCAGGTTATCGGTATTTCATCGAACAACGTGGCCGATGTATTGTAGTATGCGTTTCAGGCAGATTGAAGATAGACGCTGTGCTTTCTCTAGTTTAAGCTGCTGTAAGACAGAGTCATATGGGCGGTGAGCTGTCCATGGTATTCTCAGCATACGACGCCAACACCACATCTCAAACGCGTCGATTCTCTGTCTATCAGCCGCCTTAATAGTCCAGGTCTCGGCACCATACAGAAATATAGAGAAGACGAGTGTGCTGACTAGGTGTATTTTTGTTTTGTTGCTGATGTTCCTATCTCTCCACACTTTTCCTAGTTTTGTTTTGACAACTGTAATCGGGTCGTAGGCATGCTTATCGTCGGGTAGTATAACTCCATAGAAGGTGGAAGGATGAAATGTTTTATTTACAAATCTTACAGCTACTTATACTAAAACGTAACATGAATATTAACCAATTAAAATTCCATAAAATTATAAATACAAACTTAACCAATGAGAAGTGTACATTTTAAACCAATCACAAGAAAGCTACAATATTTACAATGGAAGGGGAAAGTGCCGAGAGGAAAGGGAAAGGGACTGAGATGCGGGGCGAGGGATCGTGTGACGTGGCGTATAAAGGCTGGCATTGATTTAACGA